TATAATGAATGCTTGTGCACCCTTCTCCTGTGCTCACCCGTTATTAACATTTTGCCACATCTGTTTACCTCTCTGCCTACTGCTTGTATGTAGATAAATAGTTATTGAGATTTTTCTTCGAAAACATTTGAAAGCAAATCGCAGACATCATGACACTTGACCCCTAAGATACTGTAAACTAAGGAAAAAGAACATTCTTCTACATAAAATACTACTATCCTTCCCAAGAAGATTAACAATAATTCTATATTATCTGTAGTCTGTATTCAGATTGCCCCAGTTGTCCCAAAAATGTCCTTCCTAGCCCCCTCTTTGTGATCCAGGATCTAATCAAGTGTCACACATTGCCTTGGTTGTGACAACCTCTTCAGTCTCTTAATCTGACTCACCCTGCTGTTTGCTCTTTGACCTTGACCTTTGTGACACATCTGAGCTAGCTGCTCTGTCCATTGTCCCCAGATCTGGATGCGCCTGACAGTTTCCCGTGTATCGTCACCCCGGATGTGCATGGGTGGCGCCGTGGCTTCTGGCATCTCCTCAGGAGATAAGTGATGCCATGTGTGTACTGTTGGCAGTGCCAGCTTGGACTGGATGGGGAAGGTGGTGATAGCCACATGTCTCCATTGTAAAGGAAACTTGCCTTTGTGGTCAGTAAATAATCTGTAGCATAATACCTTGGCACAGTGCAGATCTCCTGTTTCCCAATAACTTTTCACCTGGTTGGGCCCTTTCTCAAATCTGAACAGTAACTTTTTAAGGTCTTTTGTGTTCTACTTCTTGCAGTTTCAGTTCCCTCTTTCTGAGACTTTAAAAGCATCAAGCGTCCTTAATTTATATGCCTGAGCACCCTGGGCTGTGTCCCACCCCCTCTGTTTCTGGCGGCTCTCACTCGTGGTGCCAGGTTCCTCGTTTGTTGTCGTGAGTCTGACCACAAGACTGCGTTTCATAGGGTGTATCTGTGAAGCGATGGAGGTGGGCTCCAGAGAGACCTTCACAGACATATGAGTGGGGCCTGGGGGATGCCCCAGGGTGGTGTGACTCAGGGCTGAAACCTGAGGGCTGGCGTCATTGGGGCACCTCTGGGTGTGCGTTCTGTCCCGTTCAGTCTGATGCTGGCCACATAGCCCTGTGAGGTCTCACCTTTATGGGGATGCTCCTGTGAGGTCACCCACCTTGGGAGGGCCCCAAGCTTTGTCTGTCTTCAACCCAGAGGCCCTGAGACTGGAATTCCTGGTCACAGTGTCGCAGGTGCCCTCAGGGCCGGAGCCAGCTGGGCTCGGCAGACCTTACTGGGTTGGGCTTAGATTTGGCATTTTGCCTCTGAAGGTTCTAAACTTCCCATTTTTGGGGCCAACTTCATGACGTATTGAAGAATTGGTTTTTTATTTTATCAACATTTTCAGTTGTTTTTTTGTTGGGAGGCAGTCAGGATATCCTGTGCGGAGGTGGAGCCCCGCCGGTCCACGTGGCCATGGAACGCCCAGGTACCTTAGGGGCTGCTGGAGCTCGTTGTTTCCTTTGTCTGGCACACGTGCAGGGCGCTGGGTGCGAGTGTGGTGCTCCCAGCTTCCCAAGCAGCTGCCCTTGTGTGCTCGGGCCCCCAGAGTGGGGCAGGGCCCCGGCATCTCTGGGTGGTGGCTCCCTGCTTCAGCCTGCCTCTCAGCACTCACTGGATTTCCAAGTGTCTTTAGGGACCAGTGGTCCTGTTGTGGTAAAAGGACTCACCTGGGACCTGTTTGAGGGCCAGGCTGAGGGGTGCACAGAGGTGTGAGCCCCTGGCAACCCGGGAACCCTGGGTGGGCACCTGTGGTCGCGGGCACTGGCCCCTCCCTGGCCCTGCCTCACCTGCCTCTCCAGTTACATGGGTTCTGTCTGCCGACACAGCCCCCAGGGCCCAGGGCAGGTGCCCGCCAGCCCCTGCTCAGTGTGGATGCCTCTGCCTCCCCATGAGGGGCCTCCTTGGATCCCTGTGGCTGCTGCGCCCTGCGGGCAGGGGGCGTTGGGGGGGGCTCCGCACCGTGTGACGTGTGCCTTGCCACCGAGCCCGGCCCCCATGCTGCTCCTGTGCCTGGGAGGGGGGCTCAGGTGCGCCTCCCGGGGTGACCCCGAGGCCTGCCAGGCTGCTGCTCTTGAGCTGTGATGCGGGGACACTGTCACCCATGTGTGGACGAGGGCCTGACGGACTCCCGGGGCCGTTCGTAGCATCGTTTGGAAAGGCTGTCAGAATTGTGTACATTGTGTCAGATTGTCTTTCTTTTTAATGTTTAAAAGAATGTGTCTTGACATCTCGAAGAGCAGGCAGAATCCGAAGTGGTGCTCAGTGGTTCAGATTTCATGCTCCTTTGCCCTCTGGGAGAAAGAGACAAGTGACAGAACAGGGAGACGAGGCAGTGGCGAGGGCTGACGTCGCGCACTGGCCTTGCGCAAGGGGCTTCGGCCTCTGCTGCGGGTGGCCTGGTGCCAGGGGAGATAGGCTTATGTGCTTATTCTCAATTAGATTAATAAAAATAATTAGATGTCATAAATCAAGTAATCATAGGCTATTGTCATGGGAAAAATATGTAGCTAGAATTAATTAATTTTCAAATAAAGCGTTTATTTTAATTGCTTGAAATGATGGAGCCCTTAATTGCTGATGCATCATTTTGGCCTGAACATTTTGGTTGTGACAACATGATGGGTTTGTTCTCAGCAGTTCTGAGAAAACAAGAGGAGACCTTGATTTCATCACCTCAGAGTGAACCTTACACTGATGAGGTTCTCAGGATCCCAGCAAGCCACGGGCAGGTGGCATGTGTAGGCTGGGCTTTGTCTGGCACTGCCCCAGGCACCACACTGCTAGTGTGTGTGAGCGCCTGTGCGCAGGCATGTGCATGCCTGTGTGTGCCCATGCATGTGTGCAGGCATGTGCACTTTTGTGTGTGCGCACCTGCACGTGAGTGCCCTCTGCATGCATGCACATATGTGCATAAATGCAGTGTGTGTGTGTCAGGGCTGTGCGTGGGAGTCTGTGCAGAGGTGGTCTGCCAGAAGATTCTGTGACCTGAACCGAATGGTGGGACACCCCCCAGTCTTGGGCTGGCGCTTTTCCTCTAGGTTGAGGTGCCTCAGCGGGGTCTGCATTCTTAGGTTTCTCCCAGTCCAGGGTCCTGCAGCCCTGTGCCTGTCACTGACCAGCTGTTCTTATGGGGCAGGCACAGTGTGGCTGGGCAGTGGCTTCCAGGGGGGTGCCCAAACAACTGCTCCTCTGAACCTGCCCCATGCCTGCTGCCCAAGGGCAGCCTGGCAGCTTTGTGGCCCTGGCCCAGCAGCGTCTGGAGGCACTTACCTGCCCGAGCAGGGGCTATGCATCAGGGTCGGGGGGGTGGTCAGGGCCCTCTGCCCGCTGCAGGAGGTCAGCCTGCATTTGGGAAGAGTCAGTTGGCTTTTAGCCAAAGGTGAGAGAGGATTTAGGGTAAAAACCCTAAAAGAGACAGAAACAAACAGGGACCTGACCACTTGTACAGCACGTTCCCAGGACCTCCTCCTTCTCCATGAAACCTCCCAATGGAGGCAGGATCAAACCGCTGGGGAGCTGCCTGCAGCCTCTTGCCAGTAAGGGTTACCGTGTGTCCTGGAGGTGGAGACCAGGCCGCCCCCTCCTGGGCCTGCCCAGGGGCTGTTCTGGGGCCTCAAGGTCCAGGCCCTTCTTCCACAGCCCTCAGCTGTCCTGGGTGCTGGCAGCGGTCTCCCCCGAGTCTCTGCAGTCTGGCTCTCCCGCCCTGTGCAAGCCCCACTGGTCTCCAGGCTCTGGTCACTGCCTGTCCTCTGCTGTCTCAGTGACCTGCGGCCCCCTTCTTGCTCAGCGGGCAGCTCCCTAGCATTTTGTGCACTTGGACCGGCCTGAGCCCTGTGGGTGGAGGGATGTGCCCCATGGCTGCTGGAGCAGGTCACTTCTGGCCCTGCGACCTCCCCCTCCCCACCGAGAGCAGCCACCTCGCACTACCGCGCCCCTGGCTGCCTGAGGGACTGAGGCAGTGTGAGAGGAGGACGTGGGCAGCCAGGGGCTCTGCAGGGCCGGGGTGGGCTCAGCAGGCGCACTGGGAGGCTTCTCCTGTGGGGTGGGTGGACCCCGGCAGGCCTAAACACAGGACCAGTGATCTGAGGAAGGGTCTGACCTGTGATAGCAGCCCCCCTGGGGTGTGGCAAGGGGACTCCCTGCCCCTTGCCCTTTGGTGGCTGCATGCCACCTCTGGGGTACTTCAGGCCTGAGTCTGAGGGGCTTGGGAGAGCTCACCACACCATAGCTGCCTCGGTTTTCCCAGCAGTGAATGGGGTGCTGCCCTCTCAAAGGGTGGCTGTAGTGCTTAGCAGCTGTGGGCATGCAGGCTCAGGACCCACCGGGCAGGGGGCAGCCCACGTGAGGAGGAGGCTCCTCGACACCTGCCCGAGCTGCTCGCTCCCCTGCACCAGGAGCTCTGCACACCTTGTCTGTTCCTTGGCTTATCCCTTAGCGTGCGCTTGCCGAGCAGGTGCTGGGCACCGGGCCTGGGGTCTGGAGGGAGCAGGCCGGCGTGGCCCTGGCTCCCCGGTCCTGGTGAGGTGGCCAGCACATTACTCCACCGCAGAGAGGAGAGAGGAAGGGGCTCAAGTCAGGGGGACCGAGTCTGCCAGAGGGCTGGCGGCGGGGCTTTCCTGATGGAGGAACTACAGCAAGGCCTGGACGGAGGGCACCAGACATGCCCAGAGGCAGGACAGGCCCTCCAGGCGTGCAGACAGCCTGGTGGGGCAGCGCCAGGATGGCCAGTGGGACTCAGGGAACGAGAGGGCACAGCTAGGGGCAGCCAGGAAGCCCTGGAGGCCAGTGGCAGGCTCTGTGCAGGGCAGTGAGGGCAAGGGTGGTGGCAAGGGGGTGGGCGCGCAGGTCAGCACAGACACCTGTGGGCAGGTGGAAGAGGGTGGTGGTGGTGGGGGTCCAGGGAAGCGGCCCCTGCCTTCTGAGTGGCAGGTTTGTCACTCAGTCCCCAGGTGACCACACCTGCCCAGCATGGCGGCCCCGCCACTCCCACCACCGGACCCCCAGTTTGTCCTCCGAGGCACCCAGTCGGCAGTACATGCGCTTCATTTCTGTGGAGGGGCCCTGGGGCAGGGGCACCCACTCCTCCTCTCAGGGTGAGTAGCTGCGATCCCCAGCCCAGCCCCAGGGGAGAGCCCCGGGTGGAGTCGTGGGGTGGTGGGCAGGCAGTGGGCCCGGCTGTGACCGTGGTCCCAGGGGGGAGCTCAGGCTGCCTGTCGCCCGGGCACCCCGCCGTCTCAGAGCCCACTTACATGCCGTCCCCTGGACCTGACCCTTCGGAGGGGGCGAGGAACTTGACGTCTCGTGAGACGCACGCAGTTTGTGCTCTCAGTGGTGGCCCCCATTTCCTCCTTGCCTGGAGCAGGCTCTGTCGGAGGCCCCCGAGGCTCCCCAGCACCCTGCGCACCCTCCCTGGCAGAGGAGCACTGTGTCGCTCTTGCCCCGAGTTCACTTTAGAGCTGTCACCAGGGCTCGGAGCCACCAGGCAAATGCCTGGCCCGCCAGCTGTGTGGCTCCCGCGACCCTGGAGCGTGCTGGTGGGTCTCCGCTGAGCCTCCCCTGGAGCCTGCACTTGCCCTCGGAACAGGTCCCTGAGCGGGCTGGTGCACATCTGGAGCCTGCAGACGTGGAGGACAGTCGCCACCCTGGATGGCCACAGGGGCCAGTGTGTGACCTGGCTGCAGACGCTGTCCCAGGGCCACCAGCTCCTCAGGTGGGTCTTGGTGGCAGCCAGCATGGTCCTGAAGGAGCCAGGTTGTGGCCTTCATGGGGCCAGGACTGCAGGGCCTGAGGCTGCCCGGCATGGGGTGAGCAGCAGGTGGCTGGACCGAGGGGGTCCTGGCCTGCGGGTGGGGGAGACCATGTGCACTGTGGCCGCGGTGGGCCCAGCCTGTGAGGGCCCCGGCTGTGAGGGGCTGGAGGCGGGGCAGCAGGGTAGGGAGTCTGTGCTCCTGCGCTTCCCCTGAGGCCTTGCAGGGGTCACAGCTGGGACTCCAGGTGGAGGTGGGCCAGGAGGCAGCAGGGAGGGGCTTCCTGCTTCCCCCAGGGAGGGGGTGGGCAAGGCAGGGTATGCAGGGAGCCAGGCTGCCCCGCTGCTGGAGTGGACCACTGTCTTGGGTCCCTCTGACATCTGCCCCTGGACACGGCTCACTGCCCCAGCCCAGACATCTACCAAGTCCAAGTGGTTCTTTCCTGAACAGCTTGTGCCCAGAACTGCGGGACAGCTCTGTTCTCCTGCTCTGGACTTGGAGCCTGGGCATCTGGGCACCATGGAGCCCTGCCCCCAGAGGATGAAGCCCTGCGGGGTCTTCAAGGCACCTTTGTGCCAGACTCACTCTGCTTCCGTGACCTGCTGCTAGCTTGCATGTGCCTGAGGGTGGAGGTGTCTGGGAGGGTGGTGGCCCAGGCCGTGTGTACTTACAGAGCCCTCGCAGGGCCTTGCCTCCTTCCTGGCCAGGCGGCCCAGGCCCTCTGTCCCCTCTTGGTGCACAGGGCCGTCCATGTGGTTTTGGTCTTTCCCTGATGGTTAGAGTAGATGTGGTGTCTGAATACCCCACCAAGCCACCTGCATCAGGAAATGCCATTTTTAAATGTTCCTCCTGAATTTTTAGGTGAGGCAGAGGCCCTTCAGAGCTTCCTGCCCTCCAGGGCCCAGGTGCCTGGGGGGCTGTCCTCTCAGGGATCTGGCCAGATGGTGCACGGAGAGGCAAACTTCGGGGACAACCTATGAGCCAGTGTCTGAAGGTGCTTCGCTTTGGCCTGGGGTGGCGCTGCGGGGGCCCCACTCCAGGCAGGAGCCCGGGGGTCAGGAGGTCTGTGCTGCAGGCTGTGCAGGTGCTTGGAATGCCCAGGTGCGTTTACGTTGCACTAGAGGCTGTGCGCCCAGCTGTGTTTGGAAGCCAGTTCTCTCTGAAGTGGCTCTTGAGCAGGAACATTTGCTTTCATGTCAAGGGGAGACCAGAGGACCTAGAGCTGGGCGCCAGGGGCCCTGCTCCTCTCCCAGCTGAGTACAGGGTGCTGGGAAGTCTGGGGGCCGCCCTGCCTGCACGCCCATGTGCACCTGGGCAGGCTTGTGCCCACTGTTTTTATTGTGAGATGTGATACACAGAAAGGCACACAGAGCACATGTGCAGACCGCCATGCCACCACAGCGTGGGCCCCTGCGTGACCATTCCCCATCAGGAGCAGTACGCTGCCAGCCCTGTCCTCCCGCTTGGGGTCAGCCCCTTACGCCTCATTCTTGCTTTACCACCTGAATGCGCATCTCCAAAAGGCATAGACTCGTTTTGTCTTTTTTTTCTTAATTAAGAAGAGGGAGCCCTGCGGCATAGTTTCCTTTGTGTCTGACTTCCTTCCCTCCACCTTCTCTGAGACGCCCACGGTGTGTGGGGTGTTCTGTGTGCCTTCTACTGGATGTGACGTGTGTACCTAGCTTGCCACTCCACCAGCAGGGATCCGGGTTGGGCCCCTGGAGCTATCAGGGATGAAACTTAGATTCCTGTCTGGGTCTCCTGGCGCCGGTGCACATGTCTGCAGATTGGACCCTGTACCCAGAGGTGGCGCATCTGCACCCTGGGGTGCGGCCTCACTGGCATTGTCCTGACCGCTTAGTGAGCAGAGCCCTCATCCGTGTGTGTCAGCCTCTCAGGTAAACTCTCCCTTAAACACCCATTTCTCTGTTGGATTGACTGCCTTTTTCTTACTGAGCTGTGGGAGTTGTTTTGTATTCTAGATATGGGAGATATTTTTTTATCACCAACTATTTCTCCAGCTCGATGGCTTGCATTTTTCACTTTTTTAATGATGTCTTTAGTGAGCAGAAGTTAGTTATTTTAATGGAGTGAAGTGTGCCATCTTTCCCCTTAGAGCTGGTGCCTCTGTGTCTTGCAAAGGAGGCCTAGGACCAGGTCACGAAGGTCTCTCCCTGACCTCCCAGGAGCTTCTCTGCTGCTGTCCCTGCACACTTCCTCTGGAATCCACTGTTGGTGTGGAGGAGGGCTCTGTGTCTCCCATGGAGGCCCGATGGCCCTGTCTTCCCTGCCCTCGTTGCTGCTCTGAGCTGGGACATCAGCATCTGAGGGGGTGGATGGGGCGGGGCTGCCAGGCAGAGGTGCCGGAGGAGTGTGCCCACAGGTCAGAGAGGCAGGGGGGTGGGGGCGAGGTCGCAGAGGTGGCCAGGGAGGTTGGCAGATGGGCTGCGTCCCACAAGCTAGTTGTCAGTTGAGCATGTCCGTAATATCTTGAGGAAAATGGCAGCCAGGTTTCCTCCCATTGGAGAAGGGAGTCACAAACTCGAGGAGGAGGAAGGGGGGGAGAGGGACCCTCGGGGCATCGGCCTGACACTGGGGGTATTGAAAATTCGTACAGACATACTTGTGTGTGTGTTTGGGTGGCGGGTAGGTGTTTCCTAGCTCTGCGTGCTGAGGGCCTGGTGGCGGCGCTGTAGCCTGAGCACACCCAGGTCTTGGTTTCTGAACCCCTTTCTGCACCGGAAGGAATGAGAATTCTTTGGAGGAAGAGCTGATCCCAGGTCTGGCCCATGTTGTTGAAGGACACATGTCAGAAGGACCCTGAGCCAGCGTGAAGGGGCTCCTGTGACCGATCTGGGATGGTTTGGGTAAAAAAATAGTGAAAATTGTGGGTGATGCCCATTGAGCAATACAGGAACACATCAGCTCTGGGAGGGAGTGTGGAGTGGCGAGGCACACACTGGGTCTTCTGGAGTGACGGGCTTTGAGGGGAGAGAATGTCATCAGCAACGAGGGACCGGCCGGAGGGGGCAGGGAGGAACTGCGCTGTGAGCTCAGCATAGGAAGTCACTAAGGGCCGTCTCGGCTGTGAGTCGGGCACTCTCTGCGGGCGAGCGTGCTGCCCAGCCGCCTCCTGCCTGCCTTAGGGCCTGCCCTGTCCTCGTGTCGGTCTCGCTCGCTGCTGCCGCTTCAGGCCGTCCTGCTGTGTAGCGGAGCAGGGCGCCAGGCCTGTTCCTCCTGCGTGCCATGCGAGGCCTGGTCCTCCGAATGTCCGGGCGCACTTGAACGTCAGATGGTGGGCTCTCCAGAAGGAGTTGGGGTTTGGACTGGGAGGGATGACCTGGGTCATCCTGGGGAGGGCACCGTCTGCACGGCACCGGGTGGTTGGCGCATCTCCCATGACGGGGCAGGTCTGTCAGAACACGGGTACGGCCCCAGGTCCTGGGCGTCAGGCGGCTGCCCTTCCGGCTCCAGGACCCACCGAGTCGTCATACCTCCTCCCCGCCTCTGGTCTGGGATCGCTTCTCTTTCCCTTGTTTCTCATGGCCTCGACTCGGGCAGGACTGCTCAGGAGTTTTTAGAATGCTCCTCACTGTTTCTCAGGTTTAGATGGCGTGATGGGCTTTCAGGAGGAACCCACAGACCAGGAGCTCTTCTTGTCGCATCATTCGGGGTCCAGGATGTCCACAAGGCTCACTCCTGGTGAGGGTTACTGTGGCCACCCGGAAGGGCCTGTCTGTGGGTTCTCCCCGGCAGGGACCGTTCCCTCTACTTCCCAGGGCTCCTTGGAAGTGAGTGCCCGGTCCGCACGGGTCTTGCTCAAGGGACTTAGAAGTAGGAGTTAAGTAGGGCCGAGGAGTCTGCAGCCGTGTGCAAGAGCTGCCGCCGGGCACGCGGAGGGATACGCGGAGGGATACGTGGAGGCCGTGTGTCTCCCGTTCTCCCGAAGTGTTGCCTGCGGGTTTCAGCATCTGGTGGTGGGTTCTGCCCCCCCAGTTATCACCGGGTGATCTCCTGGGACTTCTGTTTCCGCATGCCTCCCACCTGTGGTAGAATTCACCTTTATGAGGAACTCCGTGTGTGTTCCCTCAGGACTCAGGGCTCATAGAGACTGATTTATTCCTGGGCCGTCAGCGCACACTGTTATTTATTGTATTGCTTAGATCGTCCCAGCTTTGCCACCTGGTCCTTTGGACACAACCCCATCCTTTATATTTTAAGTATTGCCTTGCTTTCTGTCACCGTGAGATGCTGGGACTCACCTTGGTTTTCCCCTGCTGCAGTCCTAGACTCGGCCATTCCTCCAGAAACCTGGGCCTGTGTCTAGAGAAAGGGTAAGGAACCCGGCTGGAGGGCGAGGTGTGCTCATGCCCCGGGTCTGCTGGCAGTGCCTGTGCGCGTCTCCATGGGTGCATGGATAAACAGGCATTCATGCTGACGCCTCCGATTCCAGGCCGGCTCCTTGGGGTTGTTCGTGCTTCCCTGGCTTCTCCGTGATGCCTTCTGGGACGGGTCCCGCCACCCACCGCTTAGGTGCTTCTCTGTTCCACCCTACTGTACGTGTGGCTAGCTTTTGGGATTCCTAGGCCACACCCCCGTGGGAAGCAAATGGGCCCACTAGGGGCCTGTGTCCCTGTGCAGTCGCCTTGTCTTTAACCTGGCAGTTCCCAGTCGGCTTTCCCAAGTTCCCTCAGGGCGGCTCCCTGCCTGTGTCCAGCATGCCACACATTTGTGATGGTCTGCAGACCCGCCTGGGGCCCTGGAACCCTGGGACTCTGATTATCTTGTTAATGAACAGTAAAGTACAGGTTTTTGTGTGAATGTAGGTTTTAATTCATTTGGGAAAATGCCTGAGGGTGGGCCTGCCAGGGCCTCAGTGAGGTCACAAAGAGGGAGGCAGGGAGGCCAGGCGTGCACTTTGGCAGCTCGGGGAGCAGCAGGAAGGCCACGGGAGGTGGCCACTGCGTGTGCCCAGAGCACCGTGGGCCTCTCTGCGGCGCGCCCCCAGCACGGCTGTGAGCAGGTTGGGCATCGGGTATCTTTGACACAAAACCCTTGCCTGGCCGAGGTGCCCCGTGTGTCCCAGCACAGATGCCATCCGCAGAATGTGCCCCCACCTCCCTCAGCCCGGCGCTGGTCTTTTGGGCAGGTGGGCTGTGCAGTCCGCTTACCTGCGAGGCTCATGCCTGTCTCTTGGCTTTGGCAGTCAGGGCCGGGACCTGAAACTGTGCCTGTGGGACCTGGCGGAGGGCAGGAATGCCGTCGTGGACTCTGTGTGCCTGGAGAGCGTGGGCTTCTGCAGGAGCTCCGTCCTGGCTGGGGGCCAGCAGCACTGGATGCTGGCCGTGCCCGGGAGAGGCAGCGACGAGGTGAGCCCCGCCTGAGCCGTCCCTTGCTCCCTAGGTAGCCGGCTCCGTGGGCCTCAGGCTGGGCCTCGCTCAGGGCTCCTGGGAGGTACCCTGCTGGTGAGTCAGGAAGAGAGGCCTGGCATGGGGAGTCTATTGTCTGGGCCTGAGGCTACAGGAGCCCTGGGGGAGAGGCTGCCCAGGCAGGTCCTAGAGGACTGGGGCGCAGCACATGTGGAGGATGCACCTGGCAGGCCAGCAGGAGGTGGTGGGAGAGACACTGAGGTCCTGGTAGGCCTGGGAGCCAGAGCAGAGGGGAGGGCAGCCTTGTGGGGACAGAAGCAGGTCCCAAGTGAGAGGCCTCAGGCAGGGCTGGGATGTGGGGGGAATCACAGTACAGAGGGGCAGAAACGAGCCGGGCAGCCAGAGGACGGGGCTCCAGGGGTGGAGGATGTGATGGAGTCGCAGGGCACCATCAGATGTAGCTTAGCCCAGAGCAGCCAGCGGTGGTGGGTGAGTGGACAGTGGTGGGCCTGGACAGTGGGGTCCATACTCCTGGGGCAGAAGAGGCCGAGTCACCAAGGGGAGCAGAGCCCAGGACTGGGGGCAGACGGGCAGGGGAGGGGTGCGGTAGAGAGGAGAGCGGGGCCACCAGCTCTTGGGGAGCTGAAGGGGAATGGAAGCAGCGGCCTGTGAGCAGGGACCTGGCGGGCCTGGGGATGTGGGGGTGCACCCGCAGGGGGAGGCCCAAGGTGCCGCCCACTCCCGTGTTCCCCCCCACTGGCTCCCAGAGCCTCTGCCGCGGGCGGCGCCTGGGCAGGGACCCGAGGCCCACGCACATGTGGGGTTTGGCCCCTGCCCAAGAAGACTCGTTTGTCTTAAAGCAGATTCAGTTCATAAATAATGAGATAGGAACAGGCATTTATTTGTTCATGATTGCATTTAAATCACCAATTAGGAGCTACATATACTTTTCTTGCCAATTTGCCAAAAACCTGTTAAAAGTTTTATTAATGTGAAATGAGAAGGGTGTGCTTGCTCCTGGTCGGCAGGAGGCCGGCAGTGCCAAGCCGTCCTCCTGCGCCGCACACCACAGGCCAGCCTCAGCACAGCCGGCGCTTCCTGCTGGGGCCCTGGTACTGCATGCCGGCCTCCACTTCCTGCCCCCCCCCCAGGCCTTCCCCGAGCATGGCCCTCCCTCGCCCTGGGCCCCCTCCCTGGCCTGGCCCCTGAGACCACTCATCCCTTCTGCTCGAGGCTGTTCCTGCCCGGGTTCCTGGCTGCCCACGTGCAGGCCGCATCTGTGTTTTTCAGGAGCAGCCAGTCTGGGGGCCTCGCACATCCTGGGAAAATGGATGTTTTCCACGTTCCCACCTGGAATCTGCCTGGACTGGGCCCTGGAAAAGCTTCACGGGCCTGTGCCAGGCAATGCCAGGGAGGACGCACTCCCGCCCTGCTCGGCCGTCTGGGTGGCCACACTTGCCCAAACCAAACATTTTTTCCTTCTGGAAACAAAGCTTGCAGTGGAGTGCCAGGTGGGAAGCAAGCGCACCCGTGCCTGGGGGAGGCTCCAGACATGGGTGCCCAGACCCCTGCCAGGGCGCGAAGCCCCTCCCCTGGGCCGTGGAGTCCTGGGCCCGCCCTTGCTCCCTGCACCTGGCCGTGGCTCTGGCCGCCGCACTCTCCCACAGCACTCAGCTCAGGGCTGGGGGCCACCGGTCTTCCCTCCCCTCTCACTTCCTGTCTCCTCCGCCCCCAGAGCAGACTCTCTGGAGATCTGCCCCTGCCCGCTCCCTTGCCCTCACTGCCCTCCTCACTGCCACCAGAGGGGTCTTCCTGCGTCCGCAGATCAGGACGAGCCATGCCTCATTTTCCCGTGGAGCGGTGTGCCAGGCTGTCCACAGTGCAGGCCGTGCAGACTTTGTGCCCAGGGACCTCTCCTCTGGTGCCCCCCACCTCCCAGCTGGCGCCTTAGAACCAGCCTGTCCTTGTGATGTGTTCATGAAAGGAACAGATCTCATTTTAAGAAATCTGGCAACAAGCAGCAGGGCAGCAGGAAGTCAGGTTGGTCTGTGTCCTTCCACACGCAGACGTGGGCTGGCCACGCAGACTCTGAAAAGCAGGAAAGGGGGGCACCACATGGCCCACAGCTTTCCCCCTCGCGTTTGTGCGGGGTAGGGTTGAATCAGTGTCAGGACTGAGCAGAGAGTTTCTCTGTTCTGCTTGAGCAGCGGGCCAGGCCCTGGGCGAGCGTACCCCGGCCGGCTGCTCCCCGCTGCCCCCCTCCCTCCCACCACAGCTGTCCCCCGGCTTCTGCCGGTTCTCAAGCAGTTGGCCTTGATGCTGTTTGGCATCAGCCGTGCAGAGCAGCAGACCAGAGCCCCGTCCCCCTTCCCTTGAGGTTTCTTACCTGCAGGCCATGTAAGGCTGCCCCTGTGTCATGTGTCCTACTTCTCGTATTTCTTTTCATTTTGCTAGAGCTTCTCTGTGAGCATCTTTACTGCTCCAGGGGCTCTTTCCTGTGGGTAATAACCATCCATGTCGTTTTGGTTCTTTTCTGTCTCCTCTGGGCATGCAGGCCGAGGCGGATGGCGTAGATGCCAACCCTGAAGGCCTGGCGGCGGGGGAGCCGGGGTGCCTGTATGCACTCGGCAGGGACCCCGCCGCCTGCCCCTGCCCGGCTGTGAGCCCTTCCCCTGGTGCTGGGATGCTCTGCGGCCTTCTGACAAGAGCCCTGCCCATGGAGGCGCTGTGAGCGCAGAGCAGGACCCCCAGGGCTGGGAGGGCCAGGCCATGCTGCCGGCTCCCTGCCCTGCCTGCAGCAGCCCTTGGACGTGGCCCCCAGCACCCACGTGGTAGACTCGGAACTCAGACTCTCAGGACTCCAGGCTTCAGGACGGGTCCCTCGTGTTTGTCAGTGAGAGCAGCATTCCTCACACCTGTGTGCCTCAAGTTCACGCTGGCCTCTCGCCAGGGTTCTGTGCTGTGGGTGTCACACCAGAGGCCAACTGTCCCCTCAGCATCCCCCACCCCCCGTGGTGGCCACGCTGTTGCCGTGGTGTTACTGGGGAGCTGCTGCCTCGGTGCCTAGGGTGGCTAAGGGCCAGGTGAGCACCCCCTCCCCACTCCAACTGAGCAGGGGACCCACTCCACACAGAAGCCCCTCTTTGGCCCTACAGGAGGGGACACATTATCCCCACTTGGATAAGGGAGCTGAGGCGTTAGGGATGCAGATGGCTGGGGAGCTACTTCCAGTCTGTAGTGCCCCAGGGCCGGAGCCTGCTTCTTGCACAGCCTCAGCTAGCTGTCCCCAGCAGAGCCTGGACCAGCCCGGGTACACAGGGCTGAGTATGAGCCCGCCGTGAAGGCCAGCTATAGGGGTATCTCCCAGTCCAGGTGCAGGCGGGCCCAGCACCTGTGCTCAGTGACACAAAATGTAACTGCTGTTCGGATACAAAGGTACAGGGCACCCTGAACACCCAGGCTCCAAACAGAGTGTTCCTTGGCCATGTCACGTTCGCTTCCCAGGCTTGGTGGGTCTCCAGGTGTCCCGCTGTGTAAGCCTTTGTACCATTTGACGCATCTGAGATAGCTCAGAACAGTTCACATGTAAAACCCACACCAGGAACGAGCAGGCCAAGCTCAGGGGAATCAGCAGGCTGAGGCAGTGCTGAATGGGCCTCTTGCTCAGCAAAGGGGTCAGTCTGGGGGAGGCCAGTGGTGGCTCTGGGTGGTAAGGCTGGTTAGAGGGCTGTGCCAGTTGCTCAGGAATGACACATGCATTTCGCAAGGCCCAGCAGCGCTGGGGCCCACAAGCGTGTGCGGCCTAATCAGGAGGCTCAGCTCCCAGGTTCCTGGGGGGAGCAGACAGAAACCCGCAGCAGCCTTGGCTAATCGCCTTAGAAGTCTCTTGTTTGTACAGCACAGATGCAACTTGGCGCCGGCCCAAATCAACTTGTTTTCTCACTGTCAGGTTCAGATTCTGGAGATGCCATCCAAGACGTCAGTGTGCACCCTGAAGCCGGAGGCAGGTGCCAAGCCAGGCATGCCCATGTGCCTGGAGCTGTGGCAGGTAAGGCCCAGTGCATGCCAACCACACCCACCAGCCACGCCCGCCCGCCCGTGAATCATGCCCCATTCAGGGTCTGGGATGTCAAACCAATGGGCAATTAGCCTCTTGGGGAAACCTGTGCGCTCTGCCTTCCGCAGCCTGTGTGTCACGGTTCCTGGCCCCCTCCTGACACGGCTGCCGCCCTGCAAACCATGCTGCCCTGTGCTGTCCTCGTTCCGGGCCACGAGCAGGGACAGCCAGCCAGCGGAGCTGCCCCTCCTGGGGCCGCGTGGGCCTCTCGCCTCCCCATGCCCCAGCCTGCGGCCTGGCCTGGCCCGGAGCGCTGTGCTGACTAACCCTACAAGCCTGCGCAGCCCGGCCTTGTCGGGATCCATCTGTGTTCCTCCTCTGCCTCAGAGAGGCAGAAGTGGGCTTAGCGTGCTGACTGCCTGCGGCCACACTTGGAACTTTTGATCCACAGCCATTTCCTGCTTTCTTGACTATTGTCTCTGATTAGAGAGGGTCAGGAGGCATCTCCCGGGGCCGGCAGCAGAAGCTGGGAGGGGGTCAGAAAGGGGTCCAGAGGTCTGCGTGCTGCCAGGATGCTTGTCCCTCGAAGGCCAAGCCTGAGGCTGGGGAGGGGTCCTTGTGGGGCCACCCACTTCACCAGAGGCCCCAGCCCCTCAAGGGATGGCCCCACCGCCCACTCCCCAGAGGTCAGCACATACTGAGAGTGTCCATTTCCACCCGTTGGGGCTGCTGGTGTTGGGTGCAGCAGAGCTGGTGTTCTGGGTATTTGCTTGGCAGACTCATGGCCATATCTTCACTGTTGGAGAAACCTTGGTGAGCAGGTAACAAGCCAGTGCCCCCCTCTGGAGCGTGGCCTGTAGGCAGTTCTCACCAGCACCTTCCTAGGCTGCCCTGAGCCAGCCGGGATCAGGAAGGGCTCCGGCCTTGTGCCCTGCAGCCTGTTTGCTGTCCTTGTAAGAGTCAGACCAGGTGGGCTCAGGCAGTTTGGAGATGTCTGTGTGCCTGACAGGTCCATGGGGCAGGCACTCCATGACCCTGCCCCAGGCTTACTGTCCCTCCAGGGACCTGCCTATCCCCGTAGTTTCTTACCCAAGAACATTCCAGTGGGAATTTGGGGTCTCTGACAAGCTGAGCTTGTAGTGTCCTGCTGCCACCTCTCAGAAGTCCCCAGGCTTTGAGGGGGTGGGGGCCCTGAGACTGTCCTGAGGGACGGAGCTCCTGGCGCCAGCAGGCTCAGCAGGAGCGGCCCCACTCGCCGGTCCCGGGGCAGGACGTCACTGCTGTCCCCGGAAGCACTGTCATCACATAACCATGTAAAAATACCAGCAGAAAAATGTGTAGAAACAGGATGTACAAACTTGTTAAGGTAATTAATACAGTTGACAGAAGGACAAATCGAGTCTCTCTTAGTTAACAAAATGCAACGCAAAGCATTGTGTTTAAAAAAAGTCGATATTCATTTGAAATGTCCCTTCTTCTCCTCTCCAAACCCGGAGGTCCAGGTCATTAGGTACCAATCCGAGTGTGGCAGGGCGGCCTGACATGGTGTCGTTTTCTGAGACCTTCAGGGGTCTTCTTGTTTCGCTCCTCAAAGCAGCTGACCCGATTGTTAGGATGGTGATCACATAAAGTGTCAGAGGTCATTCACGCCAGCCCTCAGAGCCGGCTCCCGGCCACTGGGCCTCGGGGTCCCCTAGTGAGCTGAGGGATCCCCACTGACTGGGGCGCTGCCTGAGGAGGGCCCCTCCAGCCAGCACGCCCAGAGACGGGGAGGCAGCGTGGGTCTCCACAGTGACTTCAGGTCCTCGCTGTGTCAAGGAGCTTGGCACCAAGAGCGCGGCCACCAAAGGCCCAAGGCCGCCAGAGCACTGACCTGCCGGGGTGTCGGCGGGCCGCAGGGCCCCGCACCCCAGGAGAGAAGCGGAGGGCCTGCAGCTTAGGTGGGAGGGGCAGCATCGGGTCCGGAGCTCAGCACCTGGGTCCCCTTGGCAGCTGTGGGGTAAGCCCCTGCAGCCTGTCTGGCTCCTGCTCTGGCCACCCTGTTGGCACCCCGGTAGCAGGGTCGGTAGTGCCCAGCTCCTGAATCAGGCAAGGCATTTGGAACCCAGAGACCACAGGCATCACGCAGGCCGAGGCTGCCCAGATCAGTGTGTCAGCAGCGGAAGGCCCTGTATGTGGGAAGAACGTGCTCGGGGAGGAGAGGCGGCTGGGGTGGAGGGCAGGGGCCCCTGGGGGGCCCCGAGGAGCTCTTCACACCCGCTGTGGGTCGGGTCCGGAGGTCTGGTCACGGGGCCTGGGCGGTGAGGGCAGCCCGAGGCCTGGCAGGTGGGGACCCACAGCCCTGCTCTAGGAATACCATGTATGGGCTGTTAATTATCATGAATAAATGTCCAACCCTCCTCCTATAAAAAGAAATGGGTGAGGTGCCGAGCGCCAGGCTGTCCCCCCGGTGCTCACCTATTCAGGTCTGAAGCAGGCTGCCCTGCGAGGAGGCTCCCTCCAGAGAGGCACAGCCGCCCCCAGGGAGCTGCGCCAGAGGCCCGGCCGCTTCTTGAAGCATTCTACATCTGTGGGGGAAAGTGGTGTAAATAATTTTTTCTGCAGAAAAAATTTCCAATCAGGTAATCTGAGCGATGCCAAAACAGAGCTCTTCCTTGTCGTAAAACCACAGGGAGTGGGCAGCAGTGCCGCTGGAGCGGTGTCCCCGGCCGCCCCTGACCGCTCACCTGGTCAGCCTGCCGGGGGCCCCAGGAGGCACAGGATCCTGCCAGGGGCCTCACGCCCTCACATAGCTCCTTTCTATTCTTTGTGTGAATACATATTATCGCCAGAAAAATAGATCTCATGAGCGTTTCTGGGCGCGTACGGGAGGCGTCCTCCCAACCAGGTCTGACCTGAGGATTCCCAGTGGCTGTGCCCCCCACGCACTTGTCTCCTCCACGGCTCCCTGGCTCCCATCGCCAGCAGGGCCCCTGTGACACTCACCGTGCCCTGCTGCCTCAGTTTCCCCTTCTGACAGAGCCCTGCGTCCTTGAGTTGAGGGTGTAGTACCCCCTCGTGTTAACGCCTGCCCTGCTGCCTTCTGGCTAACCCAGGTCACCTAGCTTAGCCAAGCAAGGGTTCTTTCTGGGCGTGTGGCAATGCCGTGGAGAGGCCCACCACGAGGCACACGCAGCACCTGGGCCCGGAGCCCATCTCGGGCAGAAGCGCCCACACGCACACCATCAGGAGCTCCAGTGAGTGGGCAGTGCTGTCGGCCCTCCCCGGGGAGACCATGCACTGCTCAGCGCCAGCCCTGCCCTCCAGCAGCGGACAGTCCTGGGGACTGCAGCGCCCCGGGGGGCAGCCGCGCTCCCCAGCCCCCTAGGGCCCCATTCCGGCTGCTGACCATCCAGAGGCTGAGGGCCAGGCCTGGTTGGATCTCACAGAGGCTCAGCTGAGCTCCTGGCTCAGGAAATTCCCCGGGGAGGGGATGTGCTCAGTTATTCCTGACACAAGTGACACCAACCGCAGCAGCTCAGCAGGGTCTGCACATGTGCGTAAAGAGCCGGTGTATCCACAGTGCGTGTGCTGTGTCCTGGAAGTGGCCTGGGGGCCTGTGCTGGAGGTTCACTCCCGGTGGTACCCTGGGATGGGCACCACGCACAGGACCACCACGCTTGGTGAGAGGGTGACGTGGAATCCTGCAGGGCCCTTTTTTGGAGTTGTGCAGAGGCTAGATAAACGAGACTGTCCCCTCAGCATCCCCCACCCCCCGTGGTGGCCACGCTGTTGCCGTGGTGTTACTGGGGAGCTGCTGCCTCGGTGCCTAGGGTGGCTAAGGGCCAGGTGAGCACCCCCTCCCCACTCCAACTGAGCAGGGGACCCACTCCACACAGAAGCCCCTCTCTGGCCCTACAGGAGGGGACACATTATCCCCACTTGGATAAGGGAGCTGAGGCGTTAGGGATGCAGATGGCTGGGGAGCTACTTCCAGTCTGTAGTGCCCCAGGGCCGGAGCCTGCTTCTTGCACAGCCTCAGCTAGCTGTCCCCAGCAGAGCCTGGACCAGCCCGGGTACACAGGGCTGAGTATGAGCCCGCCGTGAAGGCCAGCTATAGGGGTATCTCCCAGTCCAGGTGCAGGCGGGCCCAGCACCTGTGCTCAGTGACACAAAATGTAACTGCTGTTCGGATACAAAGGTACAGGGCACCCTGAACACCCAGGCTCCAAACAGAGTGTTCCTTGGCCATGTCACGTTCGCTTCCCAGGCTTGGTGGGTCTCCAGGTGTCCCGCTGTGTAAGCCTTTGTACCATTTGATGCATCTGAGATAGCTCAGAACAGTTCACATGTAAAACCCACACCAGGAACGAGCAGGCCAAGCTCAGGGGAATCAGCAGGCTGAGGCAGTGCTGAATGGGCCTCTTGCTCAGCAAAGGGGTCAGTCTGGGGGAGGCCAGTGGTGGCTCTGGGTGGTAAGGCTGGTTAGAGGGCTGTGCCAGTTGCTCAGGAATGACACATGCATTTCGCAAGGCCCAGCAGCGCTGGGGCCCACGAGCTTGTGCGGCCTAATCAGGAGGCTCAGCTCCCAGGTTCCTGGGGGGAGCAGACAGAAACCCGCAGCAGCCTTGGCTAATCGCCTTAGAAGTCTCTTGTTTGTACAGCACAGATGCAACTTGGCGCCGGCCCAAATCAACTTGTTTTCTCACTGTCAGGTTCAGATTCTGGAGATGCCATCCAAGACGTCAGTGTGCACCCTGAAGCCGGAGGCAGGTGCCAAGCCAGGCATGCCCATGTGCCTGGAGCTGTGGCAGGTAAGGCCCAGTGCATGCCAACCACACCCACCAGCCACGCCCGCCCGCCCGTGAATCATGCCCCATTCAGGGTCTGGGATGTCAAACCAATGGGCAATTAGCCTCTTGGGGAAACCTGTGCGCTCAGCCTTCCGCAGCCTGTGTGTCACGGTTCCTGGCCCCCTCCTGACACGGCTGCCGCCCTGCAAACCATGCTGCCCTGTGCTGTCCTCGTTCCGGGCCACGAGCAGGGACAGCCAGCCAGCGGAGCTGCCCCTCCTGGTGCCGCGTGGGCCTCTCGCCTCCCCATGCCCCAGCCTGCGGCCTGGCCTGGCCCGGAGCGCTGTGCTGACTAACCCTACAAGCCTGCGCAGCCCGGCCTTGTCGGGATCCATCTGTGTTCCTCCTCTGCCTCAGAGAGGCAGAAGTGGGCTTAGCGTGCTGACTGCCTGCGGCCACACTTGGAACTTTTGATCCACAGCCATTTCCTGCTTTCTTGACTATTGTCTCTGATTAGAGAGGGTCAGGAGGCATCTCCCGGGGCCGGCAGCAGAAGCTGGGAGGGGGTCAGAAAGGGGTCCAGAGGTCTGCGTGCTGCCAGGATGCTTGTCCCTCGAAGGCCAAGCCTGAGGCTGGGGAGGGGTCCTTGTGGGGCCACCCACTTCACCAGAGGCCCCAGCCCCTCAAGGGATGGCCCCACCGCCCACTCCCCAGAGGTCAGCACATACTGAGAGTGTCCATTTCCACCCGTTGGGGCTGCTGGTGTTGGGTGCAGCAGAGCTGGTGTTCTGGGTATTTGCTTGGCAGACTCATGGCCATATCTTCACTGTTGGAGAAACCTTGGTGAGCAGGTAACAAGCCAGTGCCCCCCTCTGGAGCGTGGCCTGTAGGCAGTTCTCACCAGCACCTTCCTAGGCTGCCCTGAGCCAGCCGGGATCAGGAAGGGCTCCGGCCTTGTGCCCTGCGGCCTTTTTGCTGTCCTTGTAAGAGTCAGACCAGGTGGGCTCAGGCAGTTTGGAGATGTCTGTGTGCCTGACAGGTCCATGGGGCAGGCACTCCATGACCCTGCCCCAGGCTTACTGTCCCTCCAGGGACCTGCCTATCCCCGTAGTTTCTTACCCAAGAACATTCCAGTGGGAATTTGGGGTCTCTGACAAGCTGAGCTTGTAGTGTCCTGCTGCCACCTCTCAGAAGTCCCCAGGCTTTGAGGGGGTGGGGGCCCTGAGACTGTCCTGAGGGACGGAGCTCCTGGCGCCAGCAGGCTCAGCAGGAGCGGCCCCACTCGCCGGTCCCGGGGCAGGACGTCACTGCTGTCCCCGGAAGCACTGTCATCACATAACCATGTAAAAATACCAGCAGAAAAATGTGTAGAAACAGGATGTACAAACTTGTTAAGGTAATTAATACAGTTGACAGAAGGACAAATCGAGTCTCTCTTAGTTAACAAAATGCAACGCAAAGCATTGTGTTTAAAAAAAGTCGATATTCATTTGAAATGTCCCTTCTTCTCCTCTCCAAACCCGGAGGTCCAGGTCATTAGGTACCAATCCGAGTGTGGCAGGGCGGCCTGACATGGTGTTGTTTTCTGAGACCTTCAGGGGTCTTCTTGTTTCGCTCCTCAAAGCAGCTGACCCGATTGTTAGGATGGTGATCACATAAAGTGTCAGAGGTCATTCACGCCAGCCCTCAGAGCCGGCTCCCGGCCACTGGGCCTCGGGGTCCCCTAGTGAGCTGAGGGATCCCCACTGACTGGGGCGCTGCCTGAGGAGGGCCCCTCCAGCCAGCACGCCCAGAGACGGGGAGGCAGCGTGGGTCTCCACAGTGACTTCAGGTCCTCGCTGTGTCAAGGAGCTTGGCACCAAGAGCGCGGCCACCAAAGGCCCAAGGCCGCCAGAGCACTGACCTGCCGGGGTGTCGGCGGGCCGCAGGGCCCCGCACCCCAGGAGAGAAGCGGAGGGCCTGCAGCTTAGGTGGGAGGGGCAGCATCGGGTCCGGAGCTCAGCACCTGGGTCCCCTTGGCAGCTGTGGGGTAAGCCCCTGCAGCCTGTCTGGCTCCTGCTCTGGCCACCCTGTTGGCACCCCGGTAGCAGGGTCGGTAGTGCCCAGCTCCTGAATCAGGCAAGGCATTTGGAACCCAGAGACCACAGGCATCACGCAGGCCGAGGCTGCCCAGATCAGTGTGTCAGCAGCGGAAGGCCCTGTATGTGGGAAGAACGTGCTCGGGGAGGAGAGGCGGCTGGGGTGGAGGGCAGGGGCCCCTGGGGGGCCCCGAGGAGCTCTTCACACCCGCTGTGGGTCGGGTCCGGAGGTCTGGTCACGGGGCCTGGGCGGTGAGGGCAGCCCGAGGCCTGGCAGGTGGGGACCCACAGCCCTGCTCTAGGAATACCATGTATGGGCTGTTAATTATCATGAATAAATGTCCAACCCTCCTCCTATAAAAAGAAATGGGTGAGGTGCCGAGCGCCAGGCTGTCCCCCCGGTGCTCACCTATTCAGGTCTGAAGCAGGCTGCCCTGCGAGGAGGCTCCCTCCAGAGAGGCACAGCCGCCCCCAGGGAGCTGCGCCAGAGGCCCGGCCGCTTCTTGAAGCATTCTACATCTGTGGGGGAAAGTGGTGTAAATAATTTTTTCTGCAGAAAAAATTTCCAATCAGGTAATCTGAGCGATGCCAAAACAGAGCTCTTCCTTGTCGTAAAACCACAGGGAGTGGGCAGCAGTGCCGCTGGAGCGGTGTCCCCGGCCGCCCCTGACCGCTCACCTGGTCAGCCTGCCGGGGGCCCCAGGAGGCACAGGATCCTGCCAGGGGCCTCACGCCCTCACATAGCTCCTTTCTATTCTTTGTGTGAATACATATTATCGCCAGAAAAATAGATCTCATGAGCGTTTCTGGGCGCGTACGGGAGGCGTCCTCCCAACCAGGTCTGACCTGAGGATTCCCAGTGGCTGTGCCCCCCACGCACTTGTCTCCTCCACGGCTCCCTGGCTCCCATCGCCAGCAGGGCCCCTGTGACACTCACCGTGCCCTGCTGCCTCAGTTTCCCCTTCTGACAGAGCCCTGCGTCCTTGAGTTGAGGGTGTAGTACCCCCTCGTGTTAACGCCTGCCCTGCTGCCTTCTGGCTAACCCAGGTCACCTAGCTTAGCCAAGCAAGGGTTCTTTCTGGGCGTGTGGCAATGCCGTGGAGAGGCCCACCACGAGGCACACGCAGCACCTGGGCCCGGAGCCCATCTCGGGCAGAAGCGCCCACACGCACACCATCAGGAGCTCCAGTGAGTGGGCAGTGCTGTCGGCCCTCCCCGGGGAGACCATGCACTGCTCAGCGCCAGCCCTGCCCTCCAGCAGCGGACAGTCCTGGGGACTGCAGCGCCCCGGGGGGCAGCCGCGCTCCCCAGCCCCCTAGGGCCCCATTCCGGCTGCTGACCATCCAGAGGCTGAGGGCCAGGCCTGGTTGGATCTCACAGAGGCTCAGCTGAGCTCCTGGCTCAGGAAATTCCCCGGGGAGGGGATGTGCTCAGTTATTCCTGACACAAGTGACACCAACCGCAGCAGCTCAGCAGGGTCTGCACATGTGCGTAAAGAGCCGGTGTATCCACAGTGCGTGTGCTGTGTCCTGGAAGTGGCCTGGGGGCCTGTGCTGGAGGTTCACTCCCGGTGGTACCCTGGGATGGGCACCACGCACAGGACCACCACGCTTGGTGAGAGGGTGACGTGGAATCCTGCAGGGCCCTTTTTTGGAGTTGTGCAGAGGCTAGATAAACGAGGCGTGTGCCCAGGGTATGGGGCCCTCTGACCTGTGCCTTCATCCATCACAATAGCTCAGGGCCCGCGAGAGCGCAGCCTGCACCAGTCAGCGCCGTGGCGACTCGCCGGGTTTGGGAGCTCGGGGGCTTCTTTCTCCACAGTGACGTTGACAAAGCACAGAAGGTTCATTTTTCATTGAGACTGAGCTTGCAGTTTTCTTTGGTGGCGGCTATAGACAGGTGACCAGCCCCACCAAAGTTTGGCTTAGAGCCCCAGGCCTGGAAGGGCAGCAGGAGGATGCGCACACCTGGCTTCCCCAGGCACAGCAGCGGGAGGCAGGCCATGCTGGACTCTGTGCCCTCCTGTCCCAGTCCCAGGGGTGCCCCAACTCTGGCCCATGCTGCCCCGCGCCAGCCCCATGCCTGTGGCATCTGCCGTCAAGCGGCATGCAGAGAGCATGGCAAATATCTCCCTGCACGGGACACCCCCAGGGTCCAGTGGGAGAGGCAGCCCATCTCTCGAGCCCCTTTTCCCCCCAAACGCACCAGGACCCTTCAGGACTGACAGTTGTGCTGTCCCCCCAGGCTGACTCCAGCCCCCGGCCACTTCTCCTGGCTGGCTATGAGGACGGCTCAGTGGCCCTGTGGGACATCTCCGAGCGGAAGGTGTGCAGCCGCATCGCCTGCCACACGGAGCCCATCATGGGCCTTGACTTTGACTCCCAGAAGGCCAGGGGCATCTCGGGCTCTGCAGAGAAGGCGCTGGCTGTCTGGAGCCTGGATGAGCAGCAGACCCTGCAGGTCAGTGAGCCAGACCCGAGGTGTCATTCATCCTGCTTTGCACTAACAGTCTGATAGGCTGAAACAATATTTAGGCATGAAGAGGAGTTGTTGCAGAGCCCTGGCTAATTAATCACTCCGAGGCGGGGTGCCTGCCGGCCTGTCCGCAGGGCCGGCGCAGGAAGAAGGGGGCGTGGGTGCTGCTGAGCTGTTCACATGGTTTGGGTTTCTCTCAAGCCTTGGGTTAATAGCAGTCACGTCTTGTCCATCTAGAGAAAAGGGGCATGTAGAGTCCAGCAGTATGCAAGCCCATTTGCAAAAACTCAGAGGAATTTGGTCAGTAAGGAACTGATTAATCAAAAAAAAAAATACACCAAAGCCCCAATGTGGAGAAATCCATGGAGTCACGCCCCTGTGGTGTCTCCAAGGCAGCTCCAGGGAGGCCATTCCTCATGGGCAGCGGGGAAGGGGTGTGAGGTCTCGGGGCAGAGTGGGGCATTGTGGAAACCTTCCCTAACGTCTCAGACGACAGTCCCAGCCCGCATGGCCCATGGAACACCTGGGGCCCATGCCTGGTGCTCAGCATGGGGAGGCCTAGCCTGCAGGCTCAGCCTGTCTGGGATGGAGGCTTGGAGCTGAGGGCCCAAAGCCCCCTGTCCAGGCCTCACCGTGGTACAGGTGTTGGGTCTGCCTTGTGCCTCTTTGTCCCAGTGGGTGGCCTGGGTGCACACCGGCTTCTGCGACTGGCTGAAGAATCCCCATTAGCCAAGGATCCCTGACCAAGTAGAAGTTCCTGGGAGAGGCAGTTCTGTGAACTCAGGCCTGGTGTTGGAACAGGGCCCCAGGGAGCACCACGGGGCCCTCAGGGAGATAGCCCGCAGAAGCAGAAGCCGGCCCAGCCCTGCCTCGCCTGGGCTGTCAGCCCCGCAGACTGGAAGGCAGGGCCTGGGGGCTGCCCTCCAGTTGCAGGGGCCGTGGTGGTCCAGGCTCCCCACCCCAGACAGGAGACCAAGGCAGAGGGCATCTCTTGGGTTCCCTGCCATGTGGGGAAGCCCTGCCCAGCAGCCTGGCCGGCTTGCCTCACCTCGCACATGCTCCGCTGCAGCCCCCACAGCCAGGGGAAGAGCCCCTGGGAGCGTGTGAGGGCTGGGGCAGGGGGCCCAGCTGGAAGGTGGGACATGCTGCAGTGCCCGTCAGGCGTCACCACACCCTGGGTGCACCCTGAGGGTGGCGCACTTCCACCAGGTCACCCACACAAGGGACGGAGTGAGGACAGTGGGGCAGGGGTCACAGGGTGCGCACGGAGTCCTGGGCAAAAGAGAGGGCGCACCCAGAGGGCAGTGACAGGCGTGGAGGCCTGGGGACAGACACTGAGGTCAGGCAGAGTAAACCCGGGAGGTGCCCTTCCAGATCGCAGTCAGGGGCCACTGGGCATCCTGAAAAGTACAGTCCCATGGGAGGCTAGAACCAGAGCAAGTGGCTGGCAGCCACAGGGGTGGGGATGCCCAGGGGGGCCAGGCCCAGTCGTGGGAGCTGCGGGACTTCTCCATCCTGGAGGAAGGGGCTCTGAGGCCTCAGAACCCTGGGCCCAGGTCTGGGTGGGCATGAAAGTCATAGTGATGCCACCCGGCCAGCTGGGTGCCAGGGTTCTCCCTCATGCCCCTCCCTCCTGCCCCATGAGCCTGGTGGGGGACCGGGCAGCACCATGGGGTCCAGCGCTCATTCCTCTGCGGCTTGAACAGCAGCCTGACTGCAAAGGGCTGAAGACCCACATAGCTTCCTTGATAGCCCCGCCTGGCTGCAGGGCCCTTGGACCCCAGGAAGGGGCCCTCCTGGGGTCTTGCCCTAGATCTGCCTGGCCTCCTGGTTGTTGGGGGAGCAGCTGCTAGAACCTAAAACTTAAATTTATGGGGCACGTTCCAGTCCAGAGACGCGCTTTTACTGTACCGATGAATCGCAAAGTTAAAGCAGAAGGGCAGCCAGGCATTTCAGTATGGACGGAGTTGGTGCCCCGGACCTGGGAGCACATCAAAGCCGGGAGCGCTCCCCCGCCCCCCGCTGAGCTCTGCTGCCTCGCAGAGACCACCCGACATCACCATTAGCCTGGCCGCAGAGGCCCTGGAGGCCCTCAGGTGGTGAAGCCCAGGCCCTGAGGGGGCTGACCAGGGCTGCGAGGCCCTCAGCATCCTCGGCGCCCCACCCCAGGGGCCCTGGGAGTGCCGTGTCCGGCCCCGCAGGGCTGCGACACAGCTGCTGGCCCCGGCGCGCGGCCGCGTGGGCACAGCTGTGCTCGGCCTCGCAGCCTGCCGCTGCCTCTAACGAGCCCAAATCAATCTCTCCGGGCGGGCGCTGGGAGTGGAGACACAGATGAGGTTTCCCGCAGCCGAGCGTGCGTAATGGCAACCAGATGGTGGCCGTGCCGCGTGCGCATTCCTGGCACCTGAGGTCATGCGCAGTGAGAGCCCCTGGTGGCCAGGGATCCTTCCAGGAGGGTCCTGGTCCAGGACAGACCCAGCCAGGGGCCGCGGTGGGGACTAGGAGTCGTCGGTCACCTCGTCACCTGGGGGCACGTGGTGACACCGGGCCACTCGCCTGCTCTTTCCCTCGAGCCCCCGGGGGGTTTGGGCCTGGCTGTTGTCAGACACAGGTGGTGCACAGACCCACTCCTTCCTCCCACACTTGGGCAGGGCCCGTGGCCTTGAAGCAGGGGCTGATTTACGGCCAGCAGTATTTTTAGGCCTTTAAGTAATATCGAGGCCCCCACCACAGCCTGCCTGGGCCAGGAATTGGACCAACCGCACTCTCCCTGCACCAGGCCCGCGGCTGGTCGGCCAGGTGTCCCCTTGTCCCCAGCGCGTGGCCCCTGCCTCCTTCTCCCACCCTGCCTGGGGCCTCCCTCTGGGGTGGCTGCAGCAAGATGTGTGGGACAGGTAGGAGAGAGACCGTGGCCCTGCGGGTGGGTGGACCATGGCACAGCCCAGCCCATCGCCACGTCTCGGGAACCACCAGAGGACACGGCTCTGGCCACTGGCGCTGTCAACAGGCCCTGCCGGGGATACGGGCCTGCAGTGGGTGCCAGTCTCTTACCGTCTGGGCCCCTAGTGGGGCCACTGCTTCTCATTTCCTGCCAGGGTAGCCTCAGCGCCCCCGAGTTTCCCAAGGGACTGAGGGTGGCTGTGTGTGTGTGGGGTCATCCCTGTCCAGGGGCAGTACTGGGCATCTCGGCCCCTCCCAGGTGGTGATGTGGGCATGGAGGGCACTCTCTGCCCTGTACCCAACGTCGGCCGTGTGGGAACCACGGCTCGGGGCTCTCCCAGAGCACCCCTTCCCTTCCCTTGCGCTCTGAGTGTTCATCCGCAGAAAGCAGACTTGAAAGCAGGCCCTTTTCTCCCTGGGAAACGTTCCCCATGTTAACAAATCCACATGCAGACGGGTGCCAAGGAGGTGACCCTGAGAGCGCCCTGAGGGGCTCCAACAAGTCTGTGGCCCTAAGCTTAAGGGTCTCCTCACTGTCCCCGGGAGGCAAAGGTCACAGACGAGAGGCTGAAGGACAGTGATGGTCAGCCTCTTGTCCTGGCTCCCAGCTACGCTGTTCTGGCCCATGCGAGTCAGGGGCTCCGGAGGGGCTCAGGTGGCGACAACCCCACACACAGGTGCTCGCGTGCACTTTGCTGCCTGTCGCCTGCCCCCTGTGCCAGTCTCGGGGGCCTGTGTGTGGAGCCTGGGAGCCTACAGCCGGATGGCAAGGCAGAGGGGCAGTGAGGAGGCAGGGGCCCCGTGCTGAGGGCCCCCAGGGTTCATGACAAGAGTCGAGGGCTGTGTGCTGTTCAGCTGCTCAGGTGCCAGCACAGGTAGGATGCACACAGAGCCCCCACTGTGCCAGGGTCTGGCAGGTGAGAGCGGTCGGTACAGGACACGCAGGTGCTTGTTGCAGAGGGCGGTGGAGGGGAGGCCATGGGGGCGCTGGCGGCGTCGCAGGCCTGTGAGTCAGAGCCGGGCACGGACCGGAGGCTTTCGGAAGAGCGGGAGGTCTTGACCATGAAAGAGAGGGCAGGCCTGGGGGTGGCTGGACAGGTCGCCACAGGGACACTGCCCAAGTGCGGCTGCACCGGCCAGGACCCCAGGACGCGCTGCGTGGAGGCAGGGCCTGCCGCGAGCATCCTAGCCAAGCCACAGGCCAGCCAGAGCTGCGTCTGCTGGCGGGTTTGGGCAGGTTCTCGCGACCAGGCTACATTCTCCGGTGGGGAAAGAGTCTGGGTCATGAATGGCTGTTGAGCCATCAGACTCATGGCTTTTCTTACCAAATGTGTTAATTTAGTGGCTAGCATTGTTCAATTTCTGTGACATTTAAACAACCATATATAATCCTAAAATAACCTGTTAAATAGTGTGTCCCCTTCTGCACTCTGTGGGGCTCCGTCAGAGTTGTTCAGAGCTGTCTGTCTGTCTGTCCCTCAGCAGCCCGAGCTGCACCCCGACCCCTGTTGCCTTGCACTGCTTCTGGTTTTGGGGTTTCAGGAACCCCAGAATCAGGAGGCAGGTGTCCCTCCTCTCCTGATCTCTGGATCGGTCAGCGGGGCGGGGAGGGGGTGTCTCCGTAGGACCATGTCTTTGCCTGGAGCACTAGGGCAGGCGTTTTCTCTGCGGAAGCTCTGATTTTCCTCTTGGACTCATTCAAGGTTTCCTGAATTTTTGGTAAGTTGCATTTTACTGGGAATCAGTCTGAAGGCATAAAAATCTTCAAGGTATTTTCATACTGACGTTTTTTTCCAGTTGTTTGTAATGATTGTTTAAGTACCTGCTGTATTGGCAGGACCGTCCCTTTTTTATCTTCCTTTCAAGTGTCATTTTTGATTTTTTAAAATCTTTCTTCTTCCCTTTTACCATTTCTGCCCTGATCATCCTGTCCCTCCTGTGTTTTCTGAGCTCAGCCTGGGGTTCCGACCTGAGCTGTGTGGGAAACGCATTCGTTCCCTGCCTGCCTTTCCCATCTGCGCCCTCGGGCCCCACGCCCTGTGCCC